GATTGGGGGGGAATAGGGGGGAGAAGATGGGGGGGCAGTGCCCCCTTGTGGCCTGGGGAGGGAGAAACGGCTGAGGGAAGACACAAAAGCCCGGCGAGAGGGAAAACCTCAATAAAGGGAGAGAAACGCAGTAAGGCGAAGGACAACCCCGGCTGATGGCACAGAGCCCCGGCTGAGGGGAGAGAAAGAAAAAACCGCGGCTGAGGGGAGAGATTGACCTGGCTGCGGGGAGAGGGAGTGCCCCGGCGGAGGGAAGAGAGAAAAGCCCGGCTGAGAGGGGACAGAGCCCCGGCTGAAGGGTAGGGAGAGGACTCCGGCGGAAAGAGGGAGAGCTCGGCCCGGGGCCAGGGCAGCGGGCACGCTCCAGGCCCTCAGGAACCCGCGCCCTGTGCGGGGACACAACCCGGTGTGTCGGTGTGGGGCAGGCAGAGCTCGAGGGAGGGACACGAGCCTTGCGCTCGCTGAAGCTCCCACCCAGCTAAAGGATCAGAGGGAGACACATTGCCGACAAGGCAGAACATTTCCAGCCCTGAAGCTCCAGTCCCGTTTCCAGCACAAGTGGAGCAAGTTCTGAAAATGCCCAGCAGCCCTCGGGAGCCGCGTACAACGGTCCATTCACAGTCAGATTCTGGTTACAGATCCAGAATGGGATTTCCAGGAGAAAATGGAACATGGAGTTGTAGCGGGGCTGTGTAGGATGGATCTCAGGGAAGTTTCATACCCCAAAGGGTGCTGGCACTGCTCAGGCTCCTCAGGGAATGGGCACGGCCCTGCCAGAGCTCCAGGAGAGTTTGGACACCGTTCCAGGGATGCCCAGGGTGGGATTTGGGGTGTTTATGCAGGGCAGAGGTTGGACTTGATCCTTGTGGGTCCCTTCCAGCTCAGATTTCAACTTCCCTTGCCAATTTTCACCTGCTACTAATTAACAACAAACTCATAACAACTGCTGTTTAGTTTCTGGTTTTTTTCTGGCTGCACAGCAAAGTCCCAGTTTCTTGGGTTTGTCCATATTTTTTCTCTTTTGGTGTGGGACTTGTGGAGTGATTTGGGGAAGAGTTGTGCTCTGATGTTACTCTACACTGAGAGAGTGAAGATAAAAATGAATCTGGCATTCTGGATGATGTTAATTTAAAAAAAGAAAACTCAACATTTTGGTCATTGTAGTATTTCACTTAGGTGCAAAAGGCTTGGGAATAAGCAGAATACATGGAATTCTCCCAGGACTCATAAAACAGAAAACGCTTGAGTATTTCTCACTGGGTTCTTTTATTCCCTCTTGAACAATTTCTAATAGAAAAGGATTGTATACAAGAGCACTCCTGTACAGAAATCCCTTATATCTACCAGTCTTGCTGGGAATTCCAAATGTTCACAACATCTCCAGTGTTCACTGTCTCTCAGTGAGCACAGGAACAGGTTACCTTCTGTATCTATCAAAAGTCTCACTTGGGAAAAAGTGGTATTAAAAATTTAAGCTAATAGTGGAAATGAGATGTTTACCATTCTTGGAAGATTATTCTTAGATGACAGGTAGGACAGAAATCTTTTATATAAAAAGTGTAATTAAAAATACCACCCTACTGAGAAACTCCTGTAACGCTCTAATTCCACTCAATACAGGACCTGCAGTAACTGTGGAACACGTGTCACCAGACTCACCTGTGACGTGACACTAAAATTCTCTGTATGGGGGTGGTTTGGTTTGCTTTTAAGGCAGATCTGAACTCCCTCTGCCTGAAGCCAAATTTGTGGGAGGCCAGAGAGCTTTGATCTGCAGGTGCTGTGCTCTGGCAGGCTCTGAGCACACCAACAGAGCAGGGCTGGCTGATAACTGGGAGCACCGGGAAGGCTGGGACAGGTCTATCAAAAAAGATTAATCCTTCAAATATGCATGTGTCAGGAAGGGTCGTTAACTCCAATCTTCACCCCTGGTAAAGTTTGCTCTGAATAGGAGTGACTCCTTCAAGTGCTCTGCTGGCATCTGCTGTTCTCTCAGCAGTGGCCAGGTGACAAAGTCAGGCCAGCCAGACACCGAAGGTCACTCACTCTGCAGAGCCCAGCTGCCCTGTGCAGCCAGAGCAAACCACATCCCTGCCTCTCACACTGTGGTTTCTCAGTCATTTCCTATTCCTTCTATCAAGCACAATCATCACAACCTGCATTACGTTCTCTAGCTACGGACAAGGAGGATTTAAGAGCCATCTGCACAGCTGGAATTATTAACTAAAGCTCATAAAAAATAACAAAGGGAGAGGAAATGAACCATCACAAGGGAGGACACATCAAATACTTCAGTGTTAAGCATCCGAGTGCTGCAGGTACTAAGAGCAGGGTGCAAGCTTTTGCCATCAGCACTTCAGAAAAATGCAGAGAAAACAGCCCACACACTTTAAAGATAAAATAAATATACAAGGAAACACCTGAAACAACAAATCCTTGTCAGGTAGTTTCATAACAGTCTCTGAAGGCTTGGAGATAAGGTTTTTGTGGCCTAAGCTTCACAGTCTGGCAGATCTTCTCTCCCCACCTCGAAGGACTCTTTGCTGATCGACAGCAGCTCACGCAGCTCTTTGTTTTCAAGCTGCAAAATCAACATTTTTGCTGAAGTAGAAATGAGCTAATTCACAACTAAAGGACTATCACACAAAGGTGCCAATTTGTAATTAAAAGATGCTAATCTTTAGAGTCCCTCTGTTATTTAACAGATACATAAAGTTCGGACATTACAGTTTGTAATGCAAGCATTAATACAGTGCTGGCACACTAGAACCATATAATTTAAACCTTATCTTCTTCTGGCTTTATTTATTTATATAAAGAGATACATAAAAAGGATACGAACACTAAGAACTTGAAAATAAACAAACATGTTCTTCATTTCCTAACCCCATCCCCAAACTTTTAGTGTTATAAAACGCTAAAACTAAAATAACTGTTTTGTTGACACAAACACAGAAAATACAGAGAAAGTCTACAGACACCCAAAGCTCAATTTATCTTCAGCAACTGGCTCTGTTCTTACCTCCAACTGAGCCAGTTTCTCCTGAACTTTAAAGAACTGCTCGTCATCCACCTGAACAGCTTTTCTCATCACCTCTCCCATCTCACATATTCTGTCTATTTGACTTTCAATTTCCTGAAAGACATAAAATTAATACATTCAGTAAGTTCAGGCAAAAGCAACAGTCATAATTTATCCCTTCTAAATCATTTAGTTCCATTTTCCTGATTTTGGATTCTTTCTGTTTTAAATTTTAATCCTTTCCTCCCAAGCTCTTGCAAGCCTTTCTACCTTGTATACTTAAGGATAAGATCTTGTACCTTACTGTCCTTTATCAGCAGTCCTATATCAATGAAAACAGTGAATAGAGATACAGCAACCAGCAAGATAAGGCACCCTGACTTGAAGGGAAATAATTTCAAGTGTGCCAAGGTCTGAGACAGTAGATTCAGGCTCATGTGAACACGATTAGTAGGCAGTAAATTTTATACTGCTTTATTAGAAAAGCCTGACTGAATTTATAAAGACACTAAAAATAAAACCAAAGAAGATTTCAAGTGTGGAGTAAACAGCCCTATCTCAGCAGGACATCAAGCAGTAAAACTAAATCAAGTAAGACCAAAACTTCCTGAGGCAGATTTTTACAGAATCTGTCTAGATACAGCAATAATCCTCTGGAAGATGCATTTTGCTGAAGCTCAGAAATGCACATGGAACAAACACTGACAAATTCCAATATGGAGCAAGAGCTCCTGCTTGAAGAGCAACAGAGCACATAATCTGAGAGGGTGGAGTTTAAGTGCCCATAGTTCTCTACTGCCTCTGGAAGATAAATTTATCACAGAGCAGAGGATTCAGTTTGAAACTCCATTATTCAGAAAGTATGTAAACAAATTAGAGCATCCAGAAGAGAGGTGGAAGACACAAAGACTTTGGGGAAGAAAGATTATTATTTTTCTGAACTATTATTTTTCTAAACAGGAAGATGGTTATACTAAGAATGTAGTTCTTTTAAAGACATCATGAGTTTCTTATTGCTCTCAAAATGGAGGGGGGGGAGGAAAAAACTCAAGGACTTAATCTGAAGTACAGAAGGCTTTGCTTAGACATTGAGATAGTCAAGAGATATCCCTCAAAGGGTTCCTTCAGAACCTTTTCAGCTCTGCATTGTCAAGTTTGGTTCAAATGTAAAACCTTGATAAACAGCAATTTGTGCACTCAGGGAGGCACTGGTAGCTACACCACTTACCTTCAGAGGAGTTAAGCAACTCAGAAAAGAGAACCAGTGAGTTGCCACATATCAGTGCAAAGAAATACATGGGAAGAGTTAGGCTGGCTCCAGTTCTGATGAAAAAACTACAAGATATGAGATGTCACTGGGTTGAACCAACCTGCTGCTCTCTAATCAGATAAAAATGCATTTTAAAAAATGCCTATCACAATTCCTAAGTTTTAAAGAGAAATTTAATGTTATTTTATTATTACTAGATACCTAAATATGAAACAGGCAGCAGTTATCAGCAGCCACATCTCAGAGTTCTGAAATCACTGAGCCTAGTGTGTACAAAGGTACACTTTAGGCCACTGCACAGAGTATCTGGATTTAAAAACACTACGGAGTGAAATCTCTTAAGAACTAAACATACAGCTCAGAGTTTAGGAGGTTATTTTGCCCTCTGTTACAGCTACTGAACAGGAATGATAACAACTTGAACATCTTTGACTTTACTGCAGAGGATCAGGTACATTAAGCTTAACCCAGGGAAGTCACCACCTGGTTGAAAGAAAAAGCCTCCACCTGGGCTGTGAAGGGGTTGTGCCTTTCAGTGTCATCTGGGACAGCTGTTACAACCTGTGTGCTCTGAAAGGAACAGAGGGGAAAATACTAGCAAAGAGAGTCAAGATTTGGAGAAAATGTACTTTGGAGCACAGACATTGCAGGAATGGAAACAAAGATTGCACGACAGCGAGCAGGAGACAGGGGACTTGAGCACTCTCCTATCCCCATCCCACCTTACCCCGGAATTAGCCTGATGGACTTTCAAGGCTGGTTCTGCCTCTTCACGCTTTCTCCCTTCCAGCAGCTGTAACATCTGCTTCCTGTACTTGCTCATGATGAGTTCTAGGGCGTCCTGGTGCTCCTCCAGTGAGACCCAGAGCTCTGCAGAACACAGCCCGTCACGGCCACGAGCGGCAGCCACAGCAGGAGCGCCGAGACGCTCGCCGGGTACCAGCTGCGGGCGGGGCCGCCGCTGCCCCAT